TCCTCCTTTATGGATGACTTTTCCTTTGCACTATAGAGAGGGACTGTGTGTCGTCTGAGTTTTGTTCTAGCCATTCTTTGTCTTACATGAACTCAAATTACTCTTCTAGTTTTTCCTGCCACTATCCAATCTACACATAAGAGTTCCTTGTTCCTTTCTACCTTTTTCTCCCAGAAGTGATGTTTTTCTGACTGCTACCTTGGGTCCTGCACACCTTTCCTATACCTGGCTTCTGATATATCGGGCCAGTTTTTTCAGTACTTTCATACTATAGATGGAAAAGCAGTGGGCACATTTCTAAGCATGAGTTCAGCTCATGCTTAATCTCCACTCCCCTCTTCTGTTCTGGTTTTTCTGACTCTTCTCATACTACAGAACCCGTTCCTGGCCAGAGTTTGAAAGACAGCTCAGCTGGAATTTTTGGTATTTGTTCTTTACCTACAGGTAATTAGATATTTGTAATAGTCTTTGCTTTGTATTATACATTGTACTGAAAGTACTGGCCATGTGCAGTTTTATGTGCTCTTTGTGTTGTATAGTTTTTTGGAAGATATAGGGAGAGATTTGGATTTATACAGATGCAATTATTCTGAATTACCTGGAAGCGCCTTTATTTGTTAAATAAAAAACTAAAGTATAATTTATGTAGTCAAGTGGACCCTTTTTAGTGTGCAGTTCTGTGGATTTTTACAAACTCATACAGGTTATATAAGCACCACTCCAATAAGACATAGATGAGTTCTAGCACCTCCTAATGTGTCGCCTTTGTAATCAGCACCTTGCTGTAACCCTGTCACCTCACCAGTGGTATATTTTTAGTCTCTGCAGTTTTGCCTTTCCCATACTATTACATAAATAGAATGATACAGCAGGTAGACTTTTGAGCTTCTTTCACTTGGCATAATATACATTTGAGGTTCATCCATGTGTTGACCTGTGTCATTGGTTCTTTCATTTTTATTGCTGAGTATTATATTACATTGTGTGGCTTTGGGATCATTTATCCATTCAATGGCTGAAAAGCACTTAAGTTGTTTTCAGGGTTTGGTTATTAAAAATATAGCTTTAGGGGCTGGGAATATAGCTCAGTGCTTGCCTAGCATGCAAAAGGCCCTGGGGTCAGTTTTCAGCATTTGTGTGTGTGTGTGTGTGTGTGTGTGTGTGTGTGTGTGTGTGTGTGTGTGTGTATAGGCTTTTGGGTTTGCATAGTTTTCATTTCACTTGGATAAATGTACATGAAGTGTGTTTGCAGAGTTGTGTGGTAATAATGCTTAACTTCACAAACAGTGGAAGACCAATCTCCAAAGGGCCTGTGCCATTTTCGCTTTCCTACCAATAATGGAAAAGGCCAGTTGCCCCACCTACACATCAACATTTGGCATTAGTGTAAGAGGAGCAATGACAGAGGTGACTCCATGTTGGATTAGAGAGGCACTTTAAAAGCAGAATCTAAAGAGACGTGGGAAACAACTGGCTTCTCAAGAAATAACAAGCCCCTCACCAAAATAACAGAATGCAGCTACACAATGTGGGTAGTGGATCCGAAGGCCAGGACGAGCTGACCAGACCTTCTTGGTATGCTTAGTTCGATAAAGAGAGAGATGGACAGGTGGCCGAGTTCAGCTGACTAACCAATCACAACTATAGTTTCAAAGTAGAATAGTTGGACCTAAGCTAGGTAGTACCCTATATCATCATCTAGACTTCAGCCATTGTTTGGCTTAGCCCTTTCACTAAGTCCCACCCATCAGGGTCCTTTCAATAAACTGTGCTTGCCTTAACTCAACTCCTGGTCCTGCAAGGACTTCGCCAGGACACAAAATTGGGAACAGCACTCCAGCATCATTAGGCACCCCCTCCCCTCAATTCTAATAGGTGTGAGTGGTAGCTCATTGTGATTTTAATTTGTGGTTTTCTCATGGCTAATGATGTTGAGCCTTTTATGTATTTATTTGCCATTTGTGTATCTTCTTTGGTGCAGTGTCTTTTTTGCTTTACTTTTTAGTTTTGGCAGTTTTTTTAAAATATCCTCAGTGCATACCCTTTTGCCCAGTATTTGATTTGTAAATATTTACTTCCATTCTATAGCTTGACTTTTGAATCTTTAACAGTGTCTTGAATTTTGGTGTCACATCTATGAAATATTTGACTAAACCAAGGTTTAAAAGACTTTCTCCCATATTTGCTTCAAGAAATAGTATAGGCTTAGATTTTACATTCTCATCTGAGATCTGTTTTGAGTTAATTTTATATATGTTGGAAGTACTGTCTGGAGTTTTTTTTTTTTTTTTGAATATCTAATTGTTTTAGAACCACTTGTTGAAATAGGAACTCTCATTTTTTATTGAATTGTCTCTGTACTCTTGTTGAAAACAGTTTTATTTTCAGTGTTAGGGATCAAACCTGGAATCTTTTGCATGCTATGCAAGTACTCTACCTCTGAGCTACATCCCCAGAATTGTTGAAAATTAATTTTATGAATATAGATATAAAGTACATTTAAGTATAGCATACATAAAGTGCACCATTTTATAAGTATACAGCTTTATGAATTACACAATGTGTACACGTTCTGTAGGTATTGTGTAAGGCAGATATAGAACATAATCAGGACCTCAGAATCCCCTCCATGCCCTCTCTGTAAATCACTGCCGCCACAAAAGTAATCACTATCCTGCCTTCTAAAATCATGGATTAGCCTTGCCCATTCTTACTATATATAAATAGAAACATAGAACATGTTCTGTTTTTGGCTTCTTTTGCTCATCAGTATACTTATCTGTTGTATTCTGGATGGCTCAGGACAGCTCTCACTTCTTTCTCACTTGTAGTTTTTTTGTTTGTTTTTAAACAGGGTCATGCTATGTAACCCAGGCTGACCTCCCCAGTGCTGGGATTATAGGCATGCGCCACCCAAAATACATTTTTGTGTGTGTGCTGGAAATCAAACCCAGAGCCTTGAACATGCTAGGCAAGTGTTTTGCCACTAAGCTGTATTCCTCAGCCTTCACTTTTAGTTGTTAGTATAACTGTAGAATATGCTGGGAATGTAATGTCCTGAGATAAGGGGGAGCTAGCCAGAATAGTTTGGGCTTTGTTCCAGTACCCCCTAAAAACAAAATATCCATCAGTGGTTCATTTGGCCCCCCAGGTATAAAACACAGGGTGAGTTGCTTTCCAGGGGTCACTCCACTATGGTGAGAGTGGGGAGCTGGGCATGTGCAGAGACCATCTGCCCTGAGCAGTTTTCCTGAACCTTGGGAGATCAGGTCACAGTAAATTCTGGACTTCTGTTGTCCCTTGGTCATGGCATATGCAAGTCAGTAACTTCATCAAATAATGCCAAGTGTTCCTCTAAGCAACTATACCAGGTTTCATTCCTCTTAATGGTGTGGGAGTTTCCAGTTTAGTACATTATGGTATATTATTAGTCTTATTTAGCTTAATTATAGCTACATAGTCATATCTCAGTGTGGATTACATTTTCATTTACCTAAGTGCTAATGAGATTGAGTACATTTCAGTTCACCTGACAGCTGAGATTGAGTACATTTTCTTATTTTCATAGGTCATTTAGTTTTCCTTTTTGATATAAAGTACCTGCTTACTTCTCTTGTCCATTCTTCTGTGTTGTGTTTCTTGCTGACTCATTTTACAGATTTCTGATAAGAGGCCTTTATCACTCATGAGTACAGAGGATCATTTTCCCATCTGAGACTTGCTTTTCCACTGTCATACATTTATGTATTTATTTATTTGTTTATTTAGTGCGGTACTGGGGTTTGAACTTAGGGCCTACACCTTGAGCTACTCCAACAGCCCTTTTTTTGTGATGGGTTTTTTCGAGATAGGGTCTCACAAACTATTTGCCTGGGTTGCCTTCAAACCTAGATCCTCTTGATCTCTGCCTCCTGAGTAGGTAGGATTACAGGCATGAGCCACTAGTGCCTGGCTTACTGTCATAATTTTAATCTTGCAACATGGGTCTTTTCCTTTATAAGGAGTGCTTTTCATATCTTGTTTTAGAATTTGTCCCGTATCCTAAGCTTATGAAACCATTTCCTATATTATTGTTTTGTCTTGCTGAACCCACAACTACAGTTGCACCCAAAATGGTGGCAGGGGAACCTCCCACACGGGAGTGCCTGGGATCGCCTGGAGGGAGGACCAGTTTTGATTCCAAAGAAAGAAGCACTAAATATCAGATGATCCACCCTAAGCATTTATGGGGGAACACGGAGTGGGCTGTGAAGCCTTTACAAGGGCTAGTGAAAGAAAGGGGTGTGCTAATAGGTGTGTTCACAGTGAGGGGGAGTTTACATGCAGACTTAAGGAATTTGGGCCCAAGGTCAGGGCCATTTGCTTTCAGTGTTCTGGGCAACAACCTAAACAACGTGGAATGTTCAAGGCCCGGGCTTGGGCTCAAGTCCGCAGAGAAAAACCTGCTGTTGGGTCAGAGCAATCAAGGCACTCAGGTTTTCATTCAGGACACAGAAAGCAAGGGAACCTGGGGGGGGGGCCCTTGCTTTATAGTTACTTTATAGACACTTCATTGTGTTAGTTCTTACATTAGACTTACAATTGACCTGTAGCTTATTTTTGTGTATGGTGAGAGGGGTTCAATTTCGATGTTCCCATATAAGTATCCAATAGTCTGTCCACGTTTATTGCAAAGATCCTCCTCTCTCCACTGCTTCATTGTGACAACATTGTCCTAAATCAGGTGTCTATACACATTTGGATTCTCTGTTGTTCCACTGGACTGTCTGTCCTTGTGCTAATATGACATCTTAAATATTCTATTACTTAATGGAATAGTTTTTTTTTCTCATGATTTGTGATTTCCCCGACAAAGTAGTTCACTAATTTGATATGAAGGAGACATCTCCTTCATTTTGAGTCTTCATGATGAGCTGGGAGCCCAATCAGAAGTTCTCCCACATTCTATCTTCATGGCCCAGTGGTTAGCATTTTAGAATAAAAGGAATGTGCCATTACAGGGACTAGTGACATTTGAGGATGTGGCTGTGGATTTCACCCAGGAGGAATGGCAGTACCTGAATCCTCCACAGAGGACCCTGTACAGAGACGTGATGCTCGAGACCTATAGCAACCTGGTCTGTGTGGGTAAGATGGCTTCCTCAGGTAATTTTGCTGTTGCTGATCATTGCACCCAATGGAGGGCCTTTTCTTCCTCAATTTCCCCTTTTTCTCTCCTGAAAAAAATCCCCAAGCCCCAGTTAAATTGTTTGATTTTACCATTGTGTCAAGCAATAGGCTCCTTGTACTACCACTAAACTGCAAGGGGCTCTGAAGACCAAGGTGGTGTGTCCATTTCTCATTACCAGGGCAGCAGATTACTAAACCAGACCTCATCCTCAAGCTGGAGGTGGAAGAACTGGACCCAGCAGATGAAAAAATCCCAATGTGGAGCTTTCCAGGTATGTGGAATTGACCCAGGCTCTGAGCATGGGAGGTCCCAGACTATTAAGCAAGGGAAAAGGTTGTGACCCTTTGGCTCGCTGTTGAAGGAGCGTGTCAAGAACACCACAGACTTAAAACTGACTCTTCCTCCAACCCCCACCAGATAACTCCCCTTAAATTAGCACTCTGTGGCAAATTTCCACACAATTCCTTTCATCCTGTATGTGTCTCTTTTTTTTTTGTCAGTACTGGGGCTTCCACTCAGGGCCTTCACTTTGAACCACTCTACCATCCTTTTTTTGTGATTGGTTTTTCAAGATAGGGTGTCACGACCTATTTACCCAGGCTGGCTTCGAACTCCAGTCCTCCTGATCTCTGGCTCCTGAGTAGCTAGGATTATAGGCATGAGCCATCGGTATCTGGCTGTATATGTCTTTTAAATGTTACCACTCCCTGGTCCTACCGCTTCCATGATTCTCACCTGATGCCAGGCTCACATTAGTCACAAGCCTGGACTCTCATGCTGTATTTCCAGATTAAATTCTGAGAATATTCTTCTTCTTCAGCGTAGATATTTTTGTCAGATTTTTTCTCCTCAACCATCTTGATTTTCTTTTGAGCTATACTCTTAGTTCCTTGATTATCTCTTTAAAAATATCTTTATTGAGATGTAATGTACTACCATAATATTCAGCCTTTTAACTCAGTGGTTATGGTATATTCAGAGTTGTGCAACCATCATTACTATGTAGCTCTAGAACATTCTCATTGCCCCCAAAAGAAACCCCTACTTATAGCAATCATTCCCCATCCCTGTTTCTCCATTCCCTGTGAGTACTCATCTGCTTTCTGACTCTGTGCTTTTGCCTGTTTTGGACTTTTCATGTGAATGGAATCATACAAACTATGGCCTTTTCTGTCTGATTTCTTTCACTTGGCATGTTTTCCAGGGTCATCCACGCTGATCCATGTTGTATTGTGTGTCAGTGTTTTATTCCTTTTTATGGAGAACAATATTCTGCTATACAGCTAGACCACATTTTGCTATTCACTCATCTGCTGATGGATGTTTAGGTGGTTTCCACTTTTAGCTATTGGGAATGATACTACCATGTACATTCAAGTTACAAGTTTTTGTGGTGGTGGATGTTCTCCTTTCTTTTGGGTAGATACATAGTATTGGAAATGTACCATGTGGCAATTGTATATTGACTATTTTGAGGAATTTCCAAATTATGTGACTATCTTGTTTCTCAAAAACTTTCACCCAGCTGGATGTGGTGGTGGACACCTGTAATCCCTGCACTGGGGAAGTTGAGGCAGAAGGAAGGAGAGTTTGAGGCCACCCTGGGCTACATAGACCTGTTTCAAAACAACAACAACAAAATTCTGGGCACCAGTGGCTCACACCTGTAATTCTAGCTACTTGGGAGGCTAAGATCTGGGTGCTAGGTGTGCTCATAGCTACCTAGATTCTTGTCTGTTATCTATGAATGAGTCCCCTTCACCTCTCCCTCTCCCTTGTAGCTCTTTTTTAAAAAGGTAACTGAGTCATTTGTCCTTGAGTTTTCTGCATTCCAGATTGTGCTGTTAAATACCTTATGGTGATTTATTTTTTATTTTGCAGTACTGGGGCTTGAACTCAGCCTACACTTTGTGCCACTCCACCAGCCCCTTTTTTATGATTGGTTTTTTTGAGATAGGGTCTTGTGAACTATTTGCCCAGGCTGGCTTCAAACTGCTATCCTCCTGATTTCTGCCTCTTGAGTAGCTAAGATTACAGGCATGAGCCACTGTCACCCAGCAACATCCTTGTGAAGGTATTTTTTATTCTTTTTCTTTCTTTTGGTGGTATGGGGGTTTGAATTCAGGGCCTCATGCTTGCTAGGTGCTCTACTTGAGCCACTCCACCAGCCCTTCTATGATGGTATTTTAACAGAGTTCTCTGTCCCATTGTCTCGTAAGCTGGGGTAAGATCTAGAAGCTGGCAGATTCAGAATGCTTTTTCATTTTTCTTTGTTCCTTCTTAGTTACTTCCACCAGGAGGTATGCAGTGCATGGTTGGCTCTCTGTCCTATGTTACTAGTCATTGCTGATGACTGCTTAGATCCATTAATTCATTAATGGCTACAAAATGGTTATATTTTAATTCTGTTATTTCCTCTTTTTTGATTAGCTAGAATATTTCTGTAAAGAGAAATTGCCACTCATCTGTTCTTTGGTCATCATTATACAAAAAAGTCAGATGAAGGTTTTGCTTATGTACCAGTTTTCAAATAATGAGTTTGTTTTGTAGCATCATATGAAGATGACCAATAATTTATGTCCTTTTTGTGTATCATTTATGGGCTTGTGGATTCAAACATTTCATGTCTTATTATGTTGCCCAAGCTGGCCTTGAACAACTCACAATGCTACTGCCTTAACCTTCAGAGCGCTGGGATTACAGATGTGCACCACCATATCTGGCCAGACATTTGCTTTTGGCAGTACTAGCTTTGAATTCAGGGCCCTCTGCTTTCTTTGCAGGTTCTCTACCACTTGAACCATACTCCCAGCCCAGCCAAACATTTTTATCTCTTAATCCTTAAGACATCTTTGACCAGTGGAAACTCAAGTTGGCTCTAGAGTCTTTGGTAGCATCCTTGCTGATGTTACAAGTTAAGGGTCATTTTGTGGATTTTCTGTCTCAGATCTGGAATTGGCCATTTTCTCCAGGGATCCCTGGTTCTCTTTGGTGGGAAATAATGTTTTAAATAATGTTTAACATCCACAACTTGGATGTTAGGGAAGCATTCCTAGGCATTTTCATTGATGATGTTGGGAACTATGCACAATTCTTTTAAAGAGCCAGACACCAGTGGTTCTTGCTGTAATCCTAGCTACTCAGGAGGCAGAGATCAGGAGGATCATGGTTCAAAGCCAGCCCCAGGCAAATAGTTCATGAGACCCTATCTAGAAAATATCCATAACATAAAAGGGCTGGTGGAGTGACTCAAGTGGCAGAATGCCTGCCTAACAAGCATGAGGCCCTGAGTTCAAACCCAGTACCACAAAAAAAAATTAAAGGAAAGATGCCTTATGTACTTAAATAGATGTTTCCAAATTGAATTCTGGACTTAAAGGTGTTTTGTTTTGTTTTGGTACTGAGATTTGAACTCAGGATTTCAAACTTACTAGGCAGGTGTACCACTTGAGCCTCACCTCTAATCCTGGATTTACAAGTTTTTAATGTGTTAATTTTACACCAAGTGGTAGTATTGTTGGTGTTAGTTCTAAGACTGTTACATGTATATAGTGAGTTAATCAACTGAGGTAATCATGTTGGCATCATTGACAATTGAGAATTTTCAGTGTGGCTGTTAGGAAATACAAACAAAAGGTTATTTCTCATTAGGGTATTCTTATTTGAGTTTTTTTTTTTTGGTTGTACTGATGCTTGAACTCAGCACCTGTGCTTACAGGTATGCGCTCTACCACTTGCACCATGCCCCAACCTTTAGGAGTGTATTCAGTTTTTCTTTATAATTATAAAAAATTACTAAATATTTACTTGGTTCTGAAGTCAAATCTAGGAAGACAAGGTATCTTCAGAGCAGGTTGGCTTCTTTTCCTCTGCATCCCACTCTCTTTTTCCCTTCCCCCACAGGAAGCGTTTAGTGAAATTTAAAAATTTGTCCTCCTTTATGTCTTTTTACATTATGAGTCTCTCTGAATGTACTTAAATGCATTTCCTTAGAAAAATGTTAGCCCCCCCCCATGCAGTTTTATTTGCCTTCTTTTTTTACTTAACATTTAAGAACCTGTTAAGTGTCTATTGGTACTCTGTATTTCTTTTTATAGTAAGGTAGTAGCGTTCCATCACAATGACAATAGCAGTTGTTGTAGAGGACATTTGAAACCACTAGCAAGGTGCCATATATAGGTAAGCGAATCCTCTCATCATCCACTTAGGTGAGCACTGTTAATGATTTTGGTTTGATAGGTGGGAAAGTGATACAAATAGATTATCTCATTTGCCTGGGGTCACAGATCAAGTGAATGGTGGAGCCAGGATATGCTCCGAGGCTAGACAGCCCTTGACTATAGCCATATAGGCCATTCTTCTCCTGCCCACCCCGAAGGTTCACATCCAGCAGACCTTGAGTAGAGAGATTGGGGCCCTCTAAGTGCATTATGTAGGTGCTCTTCCTGTGATTCTGTGTTTATCCCTAAGAACTAATACTTTGCTCTTCAGAGAGAGGAAGTCACAGGGAGGGGAAACCAGCTGTATGATCCATTGAAAAATTCAGTACTGTTATGGCAAAGTGCCATATGGAATCTAAGTGGTAATATGAGTAGCTATTGTACTCTTCTTTCAACTTTCCCCCCTGCTTGATACTTTCACATAAAGTTTCATGGGGAAATTGGAAAGTAAACTAGAAAACAGGATTAAAAATTCTATATATGTGCCAAAAATATTTACCATATTTTATTGACTTCAAAATACCACTGATTTTAAGATATACCAATAAAGAAAGAAATAGTACAGTTAAGAAACAAAAATAAAGAAATATTGCCACCAATTAATCTATGACATGCCATTAATGATAAGGTGCAACTGGATTCAAAGATATTAAAGGTGAAATTAGGAAGGCAAGGCTTTGCAGTTTGGGGTTTTTTTTTTTTTTGGTGGTACTGGAGTTTGAACTCAGGGCTTCACCCTTGCTAGGCAGGCACTCTACTGCTTGAGCCATGCCTCAGCTCTTTTTGCTTTATTTATCTAATAGGGTCTCACATTTTTATTTCCTTGCTGGCCTGGACTGTAATCCTCCTATTTACACTTCCTGTGTAACTGGAATGACAGGTGCATGCCACTATGCCCAGCTTTTATCGGTTGAGTTGGGGTCTCAAAAACCTTTTGCCTGGGCTGGACTATGATCCTTCTGATATCTGCCTCCTGAGTAGCTAGGACTACAGGCATGAGTCAGACAAGGCTTTGCAGTTTTAACTGTCTAAAATGAGTGGGACCGATAGCCCAATAATAAAATATTAAAATTTATATAAAGAAGGACAGAGTAAGCTTTATAGAAATGACAGAACTGCCTTTTGAAAGTTACTTAGATTCTGAAAATAGCAAAATATAGAGGACAGAGTTATGTGGATAACAGTATGAGAAAGGTTTGGAGTTAATAAGAGGCCTGGTTTCTACAGGAAATAGTGTAGACAGGAGCAGAGATGGTGGTTGTGAAGAACTGTGAGTGCAAGTTTGGGTAGATACATTGTGAACCCAGACTGGGCAAAGATTTTTAGAGTGTTGTTTTTGTCAGGTTAATTATTCTACATTTTTCTGTCACTCACTGAGAATGTGGATTCAGGGTTGTTGTAAGACTTGTTTCATTTCTCCCTAGGTGGAAGTATAGTAGAAGTTATGTACATTTTAAAAGTTCATATGATAACTGGGAATTAAGGGTGGTAAGGTCCCCAGAGATGAGGTAAAAGTAGATGTAAGAGCCCAAGATATCTGGGTAAGATTATTCTTGGGAGCACAAAAGGCAGTATATTGGAGTTTACTAAAAAACCCTCTCCAGGGACTCTGATAAAATATCATGGTGTCATCTTTCATATAGCAGATCATTTCTAAAGAAGGTCCATTCCCTAAAATCAAACTATAAAGATGACTTATTGTACTTCTTTCCAGAACTTTGCCAAATTGATGAACAGATTGACAGGAAGCTTCAGGATGATGACCAAGATAAATATCTGTTGAAGCAAGTTGGATTCCCTGACAAGAACATAATTACCACCAAGAGTGGCCATTACTCTAATGAATTTGGGAACACACTTCATTTGAGCACAAGCCTTGTTCTTCCAATACAAAGACCCTATAAATTTGAATCCTTTGGACATAATATGGTAGATAACTTAGACTTATTTAGTAGAAGCTGTGTAGAAAAGAAACTTGATAATGGATGTGCAAAATTATTCTTCCACAGTGAGTTTGAAAAAACAAATCTTATAATGAAACCCTATGGATATAAAGAATCTGGGACAGCCCTCAGGCGAAAGAAAGGTCTTAGCCTTCATCAGAGAATTAAAAATGGAGAAAAACCCTTTGAGTGCACCGCATGTCGGAAAACCTTCAGTAAGAAGTCACACCTCATTGTCCATTGGAGAACTCATACAGGAGAGAAACCCTTTGGATGTACTGAATGTGGAAAAGCCTTTAGCCAAAAATCTCAGCTCATTATACACCTCAGAACTCATACAGGAGAGAGACCCTTTGAGTGTCCTGAATGTGGCAAAGCCTTCAGAGAAAAGTCAACTGTCATCATCCACTACAGGACTCATACAGGAGAGAAACCTTATGAATGTAATGAATGTGGAAAAGCCTTCACTCAGAAGTCCAACCTCATTGTTCATCAGAAAACCCACACAGGAGAGAAAACCTATGAGTGCACTAAATGTGGGGAATCTTTCATACAGAAACTTGATCTAATTATACACCATAGTACTCACACAGGAAAGAAGCCCCATGAATGTAATGAATGCAAGAAAACGTTCAGTGATAAGTCAACCCTCATTATACACCAAAGAACTCACACGGGAGAGAAGCCTCACAAATGTACTGAATGTGGAAAGTCTTTTAACGAGAAGTCAACCCTTATTGTGCACCAGAGGACTCATACTGGAGAGAAACCCTATGAATGTGATGTGTGTGGAAAAACCTTTACCCAAAAGTCAAACCTGGGTGTGCATCAGAGAACGCATTCAGGAGAGAAACCCTTTGAGTGTAACGAATGTGAGAAGGCCTTCTCTCAGAAATCCTACCTCATGCTACATCAAAGAGGCCACACAGGAGAGAAGCCCTATGAGTGCAATGAATGTGAAAAGGCGTTTTCCCAGAAGTCCTATCTCATCATACATCAAAGAACTCATACAGAAGAAAAACCCTATAAATGTAATGAGTGTGGCAAAGCCTTCCGAGAAAAGTCAAAGCTCATTATCCATCAGAGAATTCACACAGGAGAGAAGCCCTATGAATGTCCTGTGTGCTGGAAAGCTTTCAGTCAGAAGTCACAGCTTATAATCCATCAGAGAACGCACACAGGAGAGAAGCCCTATGCATGCACAGAGTGTGGTAAAGCCTTCAGGGAAAAATCCACATTCACTGTACATCAGAGAACTCACACTGGAGAGAAGCCCTATAAGTGTACAGAATGTGGAAAAGCCTTTACCCAGAAATCCAACCTTATTGTACATCAGAGGACTCATACAGGAAAGAAGGTTCTGGGAGAGGCCACCCCCGCAAGTCAAAGCTCACCACTCATTAGGGAAGAAAGCAACAGTAGTTACGTATCCTAGAAAGATGTGTCAATTTAACATGTTAAAGAGTGGGTTCTAACTTCTCTTTTAAACATGGGGTATAAAGCCAGCCTTTCTTTTTACCTTCTCAGTTTTTGCCCAAATGCAAAACTAACAAAGTTAGGAGATACCTCCAGCCAGAGGTTTGACAGAGGCAGAGGCAGTCAAAAACCAGTGGAGATTTCACAGCATGCTCAGCACTGGAGATGCAAGGCAGCGTGGATAAGGACTCTCAGCCGAGGGTCAAGACACACTTGAGCAGGACCATGGGCAGTTGTGACAACGATGAGTGCACGGGAAGATAGGAGGTTTCCTAGACCATGTAAGGTCTGAGGAGAAACAGGAAGTGGCCTCAACAAGGAATCACACAAACTAACCATAATAGCATAATTGTATGGATAGGAAGAACCGTTGGGGAGAGGTTAGGGGGTGGAGAGAAGGGACAGAGCTTCCATTATTTACTGACTTGGAAGAAGTAAAGCCTGAAAGAACTAACAGATGTTTGGGGAGGATCTCAGTCGCTAGAAAATTGTGATGTGCCTAGAATGTGGCTCTGATATCTTCCCCTCATGTGAATCTCCAGCAAATAGGAAGTCCAGGAACAACTCTTCTCATTCAAAGAGAATCATTTAGAAGTACTCAAAAGTACAAAATGGATTTTGAGTCAGGACTTTAACTTCTAGGTATGTATATACTCACATGTAGATAACATGAACACAGAGGCGTTCCTGATGCACTGTTGTGAAAACAAGATGGTAAGCTGTCCAAACGACAGCACCAGAGTTCTGCTTCCCCAAACATTGATATATTCATACAACAAACATCTAGTTAGTCAAAAGAATAAAAAGAAGTTGGGTATTATTTCTACAGTGACATGGGATAATCCAAGTTATTAGATGGAGCAGCATAGTATAACATGCTGTCCTGTGTACATAAAAGGGGAATATGGTAAGTACCTCATTGACTGTATATGCATAAACTTTTTCTGGAAAGAGACACAAGAAGCTGGTATCCCTGATTACGCTGGGGAAGGGAGAGGGGCAGTGAGTATCTGGGGGATGGAACTGGGATGGAGACATTTGTGTATCCTTTCATAGCTTTTGAAAATTGTACTATGTAGCTGTGCTACCTTTTCAGAAAACAAATAAAACTTTCAAAAGCATACTTTATTTCTGTTACAATAAAGTCAATGTCCAGATATAGCACTTCATAACATGTAATGTAGATATGCTCAATTTGGGAGTTTAATTTTTTCAAGTGAATAAATTGAATAACCAGGCAGACAAAACAACATATTTGGTCAATAGGCATTATTTCCCCAAAGTGATTCTTATATCAGCTGTAACCACATTACTTACACTTAACTGAGACTAGAACATATTCTTATTTAGGGAGCACAGTGACATTAGTGAGAAGATCCTTTGTTAAAGCCCACCAATGTTTTTCCATATGTTAAGGTGATTCAACTTACTCCATTCATACATACACACTTTTTACAAGAGATATAAAACATGAACCTACAGTATCTCCCTCTCAAGGTCACACTACTGGTGATACATTTTCCAAGGTAAGAGACAAGATTGAGACCCACGGTCTGATGAGCCACAGCCACAAACCACATAACAGGATATTTACTGCATAACAAGAGGTCCTTCTTGTAGGTTACTGTGTGACCCTAGTCTTGCATGGTTACTCACTGGGGCCATCTTTGGTGGAAGTGGGCAACTCAAGCTCTGAAAAAACCTGGAGCTGAACAGGATTTGCATTTATCAAAATGGTAGGTGACACTATCTGTCCCCTCTCAGGCCTCTTTTTATTTCTGAATTATCCTGAAAGAAAACCATAGGTTCAGTTTTTTTTTTTTGGTACTGGGGTTTAAACTCAGGCCTTCACCTTGAGCCGCTCTGCTAGCCTTTTTGTGAAGGGTTTTCTCAAGATAGACTCTTGCAAACTATTTGCCCTGACTGGCTTCGAAACTCAATCCTTCTGATCTCTGCCTCCTGAGTAGCCAGGACTACAGGCATGAGCCACTGGTGCCTGGCCCATAGGTTCATTTTTTAAAATGAACTCTTAAGTCAGACATGTCCTTTCAGTGCCTCTCCGGGGAGGGGAAATGTGGGACTGGCTGGCTTGTTCTTGGTGCAGTCTGGGTGCCAAAGGAACTGGATACACCTGTTGGGGTCCGAAGTTGACCACCCTCAGAGGAACAAAAGACACTCACGATAATGTAAGCCACAAAGCGAGGTTTATTTCTAGCCAGCTGGGGTGCGGGTATCCGCCCGACACAGCGGGTTTCAACGAGGACCGAATAAAAGTTCAGGCTGCTTTTATATTTTTTAGACATTAGTCACGGTAACACAGCAATTTTTATTGTCCCTGGGGTCACATATTTCTGATATCACACATCCTGGTGGTGGGGCAAGATTACTTGAAGATTATTTATCAGGAATTTGGTAAACACCAGGTGTCTTAACTCATTGACTCACATACCGTTCTGGCAAGATTAACCAGAAACAGTCCCTGTTCCCAGAAACCGTCCCACCTCCCTTAGTTCCAGTAAGTGGTGGCTTGGGTCATGTTGCCATGGCCGGTTTCAGGCTGAGTGGGCTGCAAGCCTCAAAGGTACCCTAAACATTTGTCCCCTAAAAACACCCATTTGATTTTCCACAGATAGAGACTTTCTAGGGGTTCAGGGCCATTAAAGGTTACAGTGCAGTCCATTTCCTGTGGATCTTGGACTCCTGCTTCTTAGGACACAGATGGCAACCTGTGGGCCACAAGTGGCAAATGGAGGTGAGTGAGGCACAGACTGGAGAGGAAGGGATGAGGATGAACTGCATGATTCGAGTCAATGTGCTGGAGTGGAGTTCTAGGGGAGAAAAAGGGTAATGAGGGAGCAAGTGTAAGGTGAAAGGGGTGATGCAAGCGGTCTGGGGGTGGAGGAGGAAGAGGAGGGTAAATGGGATCTCCAGTGGAGCAAAGGTACTGGTTGGCAGTTGAACATGTGCAAACTTAGACACTGTGGGAGAGTGGGCGGGAGGTGAGGTGTGGTGTGAATGATAGTGCAGGATGTAGTTGAGTCTATAGCATAGGTGAGTGGAAAAACACAACATGCTGTGACTGAAGAGTGACAGGAAGGGCCATCAAGGTGAAAGGACCATGCTTGAATGGGTAGGATAGTGGGTACTCTCTGGGGTAAGTGGCAAGGATCTGTAGCATTAGAGGTTATAGGGTCTCAGAACCAGTGACACAGGACCTTGTGGTGGAAATGGGAGTTGGGCGGACTAAGTGGGGGAGGTGGCTGCTAGGGTTTCTATCCAAAGAGGAGCTGCCCTAGGGACCCTACTTTGACCACTTGTGTATATGACCAGGAACAGCCTGTTCTCTCGACACAGTGCTCAAGGAAATTAAGGAAATTCAGATTTACTACTTTTTTTGGAGTACTGTGGTTTGAACTCGGCTTTACACTTGCTAGGCGCAGGCACTCTCCAGCCCTATATGTTAAGTACAAACAATAACTTGGACTTGGCTAACTAAATGTTGCCTAATTGAACAAACTGGCCTGATTTATATGGTGTATTTTTTTTGGTGGTACTGGGGTTTGAACTCAAGGCCTTACACTTGCTATGCAGGTGCTCTGCCACTGGAGCACTCTGCCAGCCCATACATGATTTATAGTTAGCACAGTCATTCAAGGTAAAACAACGATACTAATGTGTGAAAATAACTTCTTTTGTAGAGTTCCACGATCCCCCATTTGCTTAAGTAATCTTCCACCCCTCCACAACACATACACCAACACAGAGTTCAAAATATAGATTTCACCTCATTCTCTCTAGATCACAACAATACATCAACTTGCTAAGACGTGAGTTGTTGAGTTTTATGACATTACCATAAATATTAGATTGGTGAGAAACCAGCCTTTCAACTATAGAGTTTTTTTCAAGTTAGCTAAAACTTCTAAAGTTACAATCCTTCGTCAACTTTTAAAACCTTAGAGCCCTTAAGACTACTTGGGATCGTCTAAGATCAGCCCTGTGAACGTTGACTGGCCTTAACTACTCAGATTAGTCCTGGACTAATTTTAACCAATTATATCATTATATTTTATGATTATTTATGTAAAATCACCAAACTATGAATGTTCCTTCTCACTTCATCCTGTGGTGGTGTTAATGTGTGAGGAATTCCCTGAATGGTGACAAAGTCTCCAGTATGTTACCTACCAGACAAGCTACCCTAGAGGTCCAGAACAAAAAGACTCACAGACCAAATTAAAATGCTCAAATCACATGGCTTATTAGCCAACCTAAAAACACAAAATATTTTTAAAAAAACTAAAAACCACCAAGAAGCAGAGGAAACAGGAATAAGTTAACATGCTTAGGATAAGGTGCAGACAGGGTGAAGGACCACATTTCCATAGTCCGTGTTAGGCCGTGTTTCAGAGACCCTGCCTCTGCCTCCACCTCTACCTCTGTCTGTCTCCTGCATCAGCCTCACTAAGTTGAGGATGAGACCTGAGGTTTGAACAAGAAACTCGAGACTGACGATGCACATAGCCCATGACCATGACTTGGTTCCCTCAGTTGTTGCTCACAATTAAACCTCCTGCAGAGTGACAGGGTTTTTTTTGTGTGTTCAGTGGACAATACTGATTATCCCCAACTGGTGGTTGATGTAGGAATAGTGTAATTCAAGTAGTAGGATACGGCATTTTGCTGGGGAGGTGAGAGAACAAACCTCCTCCAGGGTCTACAGGGAAAGGGACCTTCCTTCTGCCTCCAACATGTCAGCAAGGGCTCCCATGTGCCCTTTTTCTCACCACTCAAGGCTGGCTGCTGCCATCATGCATTGTCTCAAAACTGTGACATTTGAGGATCAGCTGAGGACTTCAACCAAGCAGGAGTGGCAGCACCTGAGGACTGTGTAATAAAAATGGCATATGGAGACTCACAGCCTCCTGTTCTCTGGAATTTGGGAGTCCCAACTATCGCATGTAGCACTTGAAAGCCATCTTATCGCCCAGTGCCACTGATCCTGCAATAACATGGGATGGCTCCGTCTGAAGTGGTCAGACCTGAGTGATGAGGAAAAGACACACGAGAACTTTCTTTTTTCTCCTCATACAAAAAAGGGATGCCTGCATCCCATCTGGTTCTTGTCATACATTGGGGGAGGGGAAGCATAAATCTTAAGAGAAACTGATCGCTTTTTGGTGAAGACACGCAGCTTTTAGCACACTAATGCTGCCAGTGAGAACAACTCAAAGATGTGGAAAGACGGTATTTGTAGATATCACAAAGTTGCTGAGGCACCAAATAATTAAAACACCAAGATTGTGAGGCGTGGTGGTACACATCTATAATCCCAGCACTCTGGAGGCTGAAGAATCCCGATTTCTAGGCCAGCCTGGGCTACAAAGCCAGACTCTATCTCAGAAAAAAAAAAAAAAGTTTGTCAGAGCAGATGACCAAGCTGACTACAGCACGTGCTACCCGGAAGAGTCAAGGCTGTCCTCTGTGCTGCCCTTAGATCCACAAGTGAGGACCAGCCTCAAGTTTCCTAAGCTCTCTCAGAGCCTGACACTAGCTGCGGCCAGGGACATACAGACAGGTCCTGGTCAGGTTCTATTCTTGCGAGAAGACAGCC